AGATGTTTTGCAGCTGCTAGAATAGTAGCACAAATACATGTTTGTGAACTGTTTAATGACATATATTTTATTTTAGCCCCATATAAATTCACCAAATTAATAAAATTTTTATGTGGGGAAAAATAAAATTGAAAAAGTGCACTTTTAACATAAGTATAAAGCTCGCTTAAATAAAAAAAATACTGATTTGCAACCATGTGTTCCATTTATAACACTGAAAAAGAGAGCAGCCCTTTGTGGCTTAGTTCCATTGTTACAATAAAGCTGACTAGCTAGTTCCTGAGGGATTTGAGTGCTTGTACGTAACCTTTGTTTGGAAGTTCCTTGAGTTTAAATAATTACATGATTGGCATAATTATATAAAAGGCGATGTAAGAATAAGGGCAGATTAGCAAGTGTTGATCTGAGCAGGCTGATGGACGTAACTCTTAAATGATCTTGGGAGTGTGTCTTAGATTCTGCCATAATAAACAATGTTTTCTCTTTTCTAGGCTCACAGCATTACTACAGATCCTTTCAGAGAAATCCTCCAACCTCAAGGAAGAGATTTCAGATTGCTTCTTAATGCAGTTTAGGAAGAAACAGAACCTCTGTGCACTGAATGGAAGACTGAAATGCTGAATTTGCCAGCTAGTATCTTGTATAACAAAGAATACGTGCAGTGTGCTTAACCTTGCAGTCCTTAGGATTCCTGCATTGCCGCCTTTTAAAGTTGTCTGACCAGAGGTTAAGTGAAACATTAGAGCAAAATTAAATAAATGGTTGAGGTGTCTGTTCTGTTTGCAGAGTCAAGATGCTGCTGCTGCACTTCCTTCTCAGGCATTCTTTCCTTAGGGAATTGTTATTTTACCTATAGAAGCAACTAAGTTATGTTTAGGCCATGAAGTCCTGTTCCCACTTTTTCATATTTCTTCAGTGTTAAAGATGTTCTGTTGTATCCAAATATCAGTCTTATGTAAAATTTATACTTTCGAACAGCAGTTTGTGGTATCTCCTCTTTAATTGCTGTTTTAACACTTCTCCGTTTTTCAGTCTGTCTGCTTATTGCAGTTGCTCTCTTTTATTGTCTGTCCCTACTTTTTCTTCTTCCTTTAGTTCGAGATGGTATTCATTCCTTGCTTCTACTTAATGCTGTTCTAATCATCAGTAACTATGGGAATTGCTGGAATAAAATATGTTTACAGGAAGTAACATTTTCCCTGCTGGGCCAAACATGTTTATAAATGCTGAGTAATTGAACCTGCATGCTGACAAGTCGGTAAGACTGTTCCCACTTCTTGAGATTTCTTATGAAATATTGTCTGTTATCGTACAAATGAATCATATTTTGCTATATCCGAGCCTTCAGAGTTTTAACATGAAAATATGTACTTAACTGCTGAAAGCATTATTTCATACCTATCTGTGTAGACCCAAATGGGAAGATCAAAGAGGAGACTGGAATTGTGTTCTGCCCAGAGATTGCAGCCCTGATCAGGTCCCTGGCAATCGGTACTGTGTACAGTCACAGTCAGGGATTCCTCCTTCCATCAGAGAGTCAGCAGTTTAAGTAGATGTGGTTGAAGAGCTGTTGAAGGGGAAAGGGAGGAGGAGAAAAACTTAATTATTTGCCCAAATTGTGCCATTAAGAATAGAATTGGTTTCTTCTACCTGGGAATTAATACCAGTCCTCCTGACTTTGAATGAATGCTCAAGGATTGGTAATCCAAGGCAAAGCATTTGTAATATATATTTTATATCTGTACTGTTAATCAGATTTCTCGTTTTTGTAAATGGTCATCAAGCACTGCATTCTTTTGAGTAAATGAAAGCATTTTTAAATTACTTTCCTGGCTTAGTATTTTTCTTCTTTGGCTACACTAAGTTTACTCACTGGTGATATTATGGTATAGTGATAACTAGTAAGTGATCTCCCAGTCTTTATCTTGACCCATGAGCTTTTTCACCCTGTTTTCTCTCCCTGTCCTGTTGAGTAAGGGGGGGTGAATGAGGGAATGGGTGGGTGTCTGGCTGCTGGCCAAGGCTAACCCCACCACACTTTCTAATAGGCTGTACAGCTATGACTGTTAGGTGCAGGCACATCAAATATGGACAGTAAATTTCGTAGAGCAAATGTCGGATGCCAAATTTTCCATGTTGCAAGAGTTCAGGTGGGCAGATTTTTGCAGTATTGTGTGTTTCTGTGACCCACCATCACAAGTTCTTCCAGATATTAAACTGCCCACCTATTCGTGCTCCATGACCTCTGGCTTGCTTCATGTAATGTGTAGCATGCTGCTAAATACTTTCTTTAAACTTGCTAGAATTTAGCAAGGAGGAGGCCCTGTAGGATCTAGCCAAACCACAGAACAGTGGGCAGAATCTTCACCTGTGACCTTGGGGCAGGTTGTGTCCATCCAACTTGGGAGTATGCTTTTTCCTTGACACAGATGAATAAACAGGTATGATGCTTTGATAGCTACTTAGCATTAATGTCTATTAGTTATGTCAACATTCCTGGTACATTATCAGAACTGCTTTACAACAGTAAGCTGTGTTCTGGGTGATGGGTGGTGGCCTGCTTTGTTGCAAGACATGTAATTATCCTGGCATGGAAGATTTTGGTTTCTTAGAGAGGAAGCAAACTTTTGTATTCTGTTGGGGATAATTCATTCATGTAAAATTTCCCATAGTGAAGGACCCCAAATGGTAGCTACAGACCAGAGCAGTTGTTGCTGTACAGTGAACACCAGGTTGCAGAAACCATAGCAAGGTATGCGCAGTTGAGGTGACCATCACAGCAATCAGTCTGTCTCTCAAATGCCATTAATCTCCTTTACCTGTGTGAGGTAAAATAATCCACAGAAGGATTTGAAGCTGGAGTTCTCAAGCTTTAGGCCTTGAAACCTAGGTTTTTGGGCTACAGTGGCATGAAGTTCAGCATCAGGCCCTAAAATTCCTCTCTAAGGATTGGGGAAGATCTCTGAGCTGTTCAGCACTGATGATGTCTTTTTAAATGGAGACACGCTGTGTTATCTTTTTCTTTGTGCAGGTGATGGCTGTTGTAGACTACAAAATGACTTTTTTTTTTTTCCATCCAAGTAACCTTATGTAGAAAGTTTAATTGTGCTCTAATAGAGTACGTTGAAAAAAAGGGAAGCTCTTCCTAAGAAAAAACCCTTCCTAACTGCAAATGAATTGTAGTGATTGCTAAGTTAGCAACCAGTTAGTCTTGCTTACTGTGGATGCTGTGTATTTTGTAAGGGATGGCAAAAATGTCGGGTATATCTTGCCTGGGACAAAGGACTAATGTAAAGAGCACATCGCAGGTTTTCAGAATGTGTTGTATACTTCTCTTGTCCTTCTGTCATATCAGATCCTTTTTAGCCTTGCTTTGCTTTGGGGTTTTTTGGTGTTGGGTTGGGTTTTTTTTCTGGCTGGTGATGATGATTTGATCTATTTCCTTATCGAAGAATCCAGACCTGCATTCTACGGACTAGCAGAAACCTGCGTTGCCATTGTGCCTGTGGGCTGACATAGCCGCCTGACAGGATGCGTGCATTCTGTCAGCATGGGCAGAAAGGCTTCTATTTAGGTGACAGGCTGAGTAAAAGCAGATTTGCACTGTTACACACATTTATAAAAACAAAGATTCACTAACCAGTGGAGTGCCTGCTGAAATCCAACACTGTGCAAATAGCTCTCCAGGTAAAAAAGGAATGCTAATCGCAATCTGTCAGAAAACTCCTCTCTTCCAGAACATCCTTCAAAATTCATAATGATTGCAAGTCTCAGTGACATAATTAGGCCTCAGAGATGCCACACTTCTCATTTCTTCTTTCTTGGGTATATCTTTTACATCTCATTTCAATGTAGCTGCTGCGTTTTGTTAGCAGCATCACCATTGCCAGCTGCTGGCAGGATTTTGTGGTGTTTGTTCTGCTGTATTCCCTACTGTTTTCCCTGTGACTTTTTACCCTGTCCCTGTTGTTTCACTGCTTTTCAGGTTTTTTTCCTGCAGAAGGAGTTATCAGCAGTTAGCTCTAATTATTGGCTACATGAAGGCAACAAACTGCAAGGTTTTTTATAAAGAGAGTGTAATTACCCAGCTGATCTCCATGTTACAAAGACAAAAGGTGAGCCTCTTCATCCTGCACAGTTGCTTCCTTCCTGGTACATCACCTGAACAAAAGAGGGGACTGATGGCTATGTAGCTTGCCTCGTGTTTGCAAGACATGCAAAGGTATTTATCTGCTACTTTCTGTCACAAACCATTACAAATAACAGCAAGAGTAGCAAAGTTCATTTTGAACTGTTTACTGTGCAGAAAAAGGCATCAGTCAGCATTTACGATAAACTGTTTGCTGGGAGATTGCAGGAGCAAAGTGCCAAAATTTACTCCCCTCTGCTGACAAGGGTCATCAGCCTTTCCTTAGCTTCTGATGTTCTGAGCTTTCTCTATTTGTGTTTATTTTAGTTGCTTTGTTTATGCTGTTGGTTGGTATACTAAAAATGCCAGTTTTTATAAATGTCAGTTTTGGTACAAAACAGTAGAAACATGACTATTGCTATAAGAAGCTTTTGTGGTATATTTAGTAGCTGAAGTTTTGCAAATTGGGTGTAAGCCATCCTATCTTTACACCAAACTACTGTTTGACTGGTTTTTGAGCATTGTAGGCTTTGAGGAGCAGGTATTGTGCGGGCCTGTGAAGAACTTTCTTGCTCTTCACTCGAGTCAGAGCAGCCAAGTGAGGGCAGGGAAACGGCACCGTTCCCTGCAGCTGCGCTGCTGCCACTAAGTGCTTTCAGGCAGCCTCTGTGCGTGTGTGCTTTTAATGTCTTTGTTTATTTTCCTGACAGGAAGTTGTGCCTCAGTGGGAGAGCTCCACCTCCCACTCATGGCCCGGGTCTGGCACATTCTCCTTGCTGCAGTGCACGGTGGCGGCAGGCAGACCGAAGTACAGGCAGTGCCGGTTCCACAGTAGGGATCAAGGCTTGGAGCAGGAGGCTGCATGGTGGTGATGGAGGTCATGCAAGGAGCTGCAGGGGGACCCCAGCTGCTGCATGTGGGGGCTGGGGTCATCGCTTTGCTGCTGACGGTTGTGGCCATGCGTGCCCTGCCCTCCCTGATGGATTACTGGAGGCAATGGTGGGTGATGAAGCCGATCCCAGGTATCAGGCCCTGTTATCCTGTGCTGGGAAACGCTCTACTCTTGGAGCCGACGGGAAAAGGTAAGTGCAGCTCACTCTAGTGCAGCTGTGAGGTCCCTGCACTGCATGAGGCTTTGCTGGATGAGACAGTGCCGGTGAGGTGCTTGGGTGGTCGAGCTGTGGCTGGCTGTGGTGAGTTGCAGGGTGTGCCATTTAGGTCTCTTTGGGGCTGTGGGCAACCTGCAGAGGGGAACTGTGTGAGAAGTGGGCAGTGGAGGGGAAAGGAAGAGGAACTGCATAAATGTGGGGTTATTATCAGTCAAAAACTAGCTGGAGGTTCAGTCTGATAGTGGCTTCCAGATGTTGATGCTGGACTTGGACCCGTTTCCAGTTGTTGGTGAGGTGGAGCCTGGACACTGTGGAATGTGTTTCTGTGACAGAGAGGCGTGCTGGGTGCTCTTATAGCTGAGTGCTATTTCACAATGCAGAGCCCTGTGCCGCCATGGCTCTTAGCTGTGATCCAAACAAAGCTTTTAACTTGCAAAGGAGAAGTACTTTATTTTCCCCCAAGTGAGCATGTGCAAGGGACTTTAGCATGCTGAGTTGCTGGGTCATTTTCAGAATTAGATTTATGTGTTGGCTGCAAAAGAACTTGCTGAGTATTTGCAGTACACCCCTCAACAGCAAACCTTTCTGTTCTTGCATCAATCGATGGTACCTTTTTTTGTCAGGTGCTTGAGAGACCACCAGTGTGCTACATGTTCCCTTTCTGTTTGTTACTTGGTTTTGCACAGAGGCATATTTCTTGAGGAGTCTGTGTTGTGAAAGCAGCTCTGGCTGTGCTGTCAGTGGACCAGCAGACTCTTCTGGGTGGGTGTGTGATGCCTGTGTATGCCAGTCTGCTCTGCGCACATGCGTTCCTGGCCATGCTGCCAGAAGAGGAGTGACTGGGTCATGGGAGCATGGTGAAGCCAAGGCCGAGTACGGCATGGGTCAGTCATACGACATGCCCTGAGACATGATCCCTCTGTTCACAAGAGTACATGCTCACATCTTTCCTCTGGTTCCAACCCCAAATCTAAATACAGGTATGAGAGATCTTTCTTTGGTGGAAGTGAGGGCAAGCAGCTTTCCCTGAAGCTGACGTTGGGGAAGCCAGTAGCAGGATCGTAGTCAGGATGTGTATATGAGCCCGACTGAGACACAACTTACCTTTTTTTCTTTCTTTTCTTCTTTTTAAATCTTCTTTAAAAAACAAAACAAAAAAGAACATTACTTCTCTCTAGAAAGCAATTTGATGGAGACTATTATGTACTATGGAGTCTCTAATCTCCTTTATGACCATCTATCTTTGTTCTTGTTCATTTATCTAAAAATGAGTGAAGTTTGTGGTTTATAATCTTTTTCATTTAAAATGTGACAATTTAAAGAAGGATAATTTTTGGAAAAAAGGATAAGGAAAGCCAACCGTGTACTGGGCTGCATCAAAAGAAGTGTGACCACCAGGTCGAGGGAGGTGATTCTGCCCCTCTACTCCGCTCTTGTGAGACCCCACCTGGAGTACTGTGTCCAGCTCTGGGGGCCCCAGTACAGGAGAGACATGGAGCTGTTGGAGCGAGTCCAGAGGAGGGCCACGAAGCTGATCAGAGGGCTGGAGCACCTCTCCTATGGGGACAGGCTGAGAGAGTTGGGATTGTTCGGCCTGGAGAAAAGAAGGCTCTGGGGAGATGTAATTGCGGCTTACCAGTATCTGAAGGGGACCTAGAGAAAAGATGGTGAGGGACTGTTTATGAGGGAGTGTAGTGACAGGACAAGGGGTAATGGGTTTAAGCTGAAGGAGGGTTGATTTAGATCAGATGTTAGAAAGAAATTCTTTACTGTTAGAGTGGTGAGGCACTGGCACAGGTTGCCCAGAGAGGTTGTGGATGCCCCATCCCTGGAAGTGTTCAAGGCCAGGTTGGATGAGGCTTTGGGCAATGTGGCCTAGTGGAGGGTGTCCCTGCCCATGGCAGGGGGGTTGGAACTAGATGATCTTTAAGGTCCCTTCCAACCCAAACCATTCTATGATACTATAGCAGAAAGAAAAATTACTTTTCATCTGATGGTGATTTTATTTATTGATATCAGTAGACAAATGCTGGAATATTGTGATATTTTAATTATCGTGATAGGGAAAAAATACACACAAAAAAAGCAAAATAATCTGACATTCTCAAGCCCTTTGGATGAGGTGTTATTAGAACTTTGCCTAAGACTAGTGAATGCTGTATTTGGGTATCTATTAGGAAACTATGCTTTTTCCTTTTTTTTTTCCTTTGATTTGAGGACCTTTGAATTTTCAACTCTGCAGAGGCCTCTGAGTGATTTATTGTTTAATCTGTTTTCTGAAACTGCAAAGGCATGTTTAATCCTTGAACATCCTGATAGTGGCCGCCTCCTCTAGAATTGTGGAATGAACCTGATTGCCCTCTGTGATGAGATAGCTGGTTCTGTGATGAAGGGAAGAGCAATAGATGGTGTTTAATTTGATTCAGCGAGGTCTTTGATACTACTTCCCATGCTTTCTGTATAGCTAAACTGACAAGAAGTGGATAATAATGTGGGTGGAGAATTGGCTGGATTGCTGAGCTCACTGGTATGAAGTGCAACTGGCAGCTGGACGTTACTGGTATCTCTCAGGTGGTCCATGGCATAAATAAGTCTGTAAGTCTTTTTGCCCTTAGAGATGGGGACATCTGAATTGCCAAATCTACACTGGCCCCATAAGCAGTCATTTACCCTTCAGTAAGATTTCTAAAAGGACAAGAGTGTAGTTTAATCCTGGAGAAGCCAACTGTCAAGAGCTCCTGATAGAATTGCACGCCGTTACTGGTGGTTAGGGCTGTGAGAGCATTTAAGCAGGTTGGAGTAAGAAGTAATTTGTTTGCAGACAAACGATAACAGTGTAAGTACCCCAAAGATTTTCTTCAGCAGTCCAGCTATCAGAAATTAGACATTTCAAATGATACTGGTTCCTGCGCGGTGCTCTGCAATTACTGTGCATGACATCACTTGTGCGTGCACCACAAATGTAGTCCCTGTCAATGAGGTCTCAGCTGGGAAAAAGCTTGATTCTGTACTTGGAAATTAAAGAAGCGTCTTGATACAGCATTTTGGCTAGTGTCAGATAGGCCAAAACGTAAGTATAGTCTTGATACATTTTGGTTTTGCTCTAATTATTACAAAGAGCATTGCAATACAGAAGGCCCACACTGCAGTGCTTTGAGACTGCTTAAATCAAACTGCCTTATCTACAGCTAGGAGGGGTTTCTCTAGAATAGAGTGCCTTCAAGAGGGCAGCCATAAAGAAATGCTTCTGCAGTACAGTTAATGGATAGGTGCAAAATACGTTGCTTGGTCATAGTAGCAAGATAAAACTACAACAAAAACTAATTACAGCGTGTATGGTAAAAACTAGTTAATTACAGAAGTCTTGCTTATTCAGCAAAACTCCCATTTTTAAAAATTCTAATTGATTTCTTTCATTCCAGGATTTTTTAAACAGCTACAACATTACGTTGAAGAGTTCAGGAGTTGGCCATTGTTCAAACTTTGGATAGGACCATTACCTGTCATGATTTTGTATCACCCTGACAGTGTGGAGGTGAGTGTGCTTGTCTCCTGTCTATTCTACTGTCATGCAAAGCAATGTCCAACCTATTGGTTTCTATTCTCTGAATGTATTTTTTGCAAAAAAGGGCTTGGACTGATTTCACTTGAGATTGTCCTCTGACCCAGTGCTAAAGAAAAGCTGAAAGCAGGTGAATATTAACAGCCTAGTCTTGAAAAAAAATAAATAATGAAGATGGCCAGCAAATGAAAGTACCGATTCAGTATTTATACAAAGAAGCATCTCCTTTAGCTTTGTTTTCACATGTGTGAAAGTTACTCCTGAGATCAGAACGGTCAAGCAGATGGCAGGGAAGATGGGACCATGGAATTAAGGGGTAGAACATTATGAAATGCAGCTTGCATTGCTTGTGTCTGTTTGACTGACTTCTGTATTAGAACTTGGTGGGTCTGTCTTTGATGCCATGAAATGTAGTCATTAGTTTTGCTACTGACAATGATTGTCCCTGAACTGGGAAGATGGAGTTGTTTCTTTGTTGGGGTGTTTATTGAAGAGATGGTACTTCTTGTGAGCTTGGTTAAGGTGTTTTCTCTGAGCTCTGTCTGTGACTTTGTAACACAGATTTTGCTTTTTCAGAAAGATAAGGGGTGTGGGGGTGGTAGTCTGAGTATTTCATTGTTTGTCAGGATTGGGATATTTACTGAAAGACTTGAGAGTGTGAACTCAATGTCCCCCCTGTGTACCAGCTTGTACTGAAATATTGTGCGTTTTGCTGAGACTCAGGGTATTTTTGTGGAGGAACTGAGGTTGTCTAAAGTAATCTCAGCTGAAGAAATCTCTCTCCATCTAACAGTTGATGTTTTTTCCTCTTCTTTCATTTTTATGGCAGGTTATCCTGAGCAGTTCGAAACACATAGAAAAATCGTACCTGTATAAATTCCTGCACCCATGGCTGGGCACTGGACTTCTGACGAGGTATAGTGAAATGCAGGTCCATTGCTGTCTTTTTGAAATTCACAAGGTTTATGATAGGAAGAAGGCTTGGTGGCAATAATGCTGTGTGTATCTCTTGACAGAGATGCAGATGATAGCTGTAAAAGACTTATTTCTTGTGATGGTCTTGGTTGCTCTTTATCAGCTGATGTCCAATAAAAATCTTTTGGCATTATCTGTTTCTTGGCAAATTTGGCTTTTGTTACTTTTTTGCCCAGAGGCTTCAAATGAATGTGAGTTTTGGGAAGTTGTATCCTATGGCAAGTGGTGTCATTTAGTCTGCAATGCTACATGCTGGATGTTCTGAATGTTGTGATGTGTGTTCCATGGTTGGACTGAGGCAGAACTCCGACTGTGTGCATTGCTTATCTCGGTGATGCTGCAAACCAGTAGGATGGGCCTGAGATTGGTGATGCTTTTGGGTAGGATGGGAGAGTATCTGCATCCTGTCCTTCATTTCCCTCATGAAGTGGAGGCTCATAAGGGAGCCTGGGTAAGGGCACAAGTCAGGAGTGAAAAGAGGGAAGAGCAGTGATGTAAGGGTTTGGCGTCCTCCAGTCACTGGAGGGTCAAGGGAAGTTTGGTCCGGATGCTGCAGATATTCAAGAGTCAGGGCAAGGCAAGTGTAGAATGGCTCTGGTGCCTTTGTGCCTTCTCTGTGTTTGTGCGAGAAGGTCAAGGTCCCCCTGTTAGCACTGGAGCTTTGTTGCCTGTTTGGAGCCCTCAGAGGTGAACTTGTGCATCGTGATGGGACCATGGTGTCTTAAAAGCCAACTGTGATTACGTGGTGTGGGAGGCAACAGCAAGGCTGTATTGCCTGAAGGCTTGTTGGCTGTCCTTTTGTTGAGAGCAGCTATAGAAATAGTGAGTTGTGCTTTGGAGAGAGCTGGAGCAAGAAATATTTCTATTTTGCTCCTTCTGGGAAGTGCTGTGGACAGCTTTGAAAAGTCATCTACAGCCTGTCCATCGGTGAAGGTGTTCCAGGCTGCAGTTTTTATTGTGTACTTCCTGTGGTGATGAGGCTTTTATTTTTGACATGGAGTTTTTAACCCTTTCTTCTCCCTGTTAATTTTGCAGCACCGGAGACAAGTGGCGGTCACGGAGGAAGATGATAACTCCCACGTTCCACTTTGCAATCTTAACTGACTTTCTAGAGGTTATGAATGAACAAGGAGATATTTTGTTGGAGAAACTTGAGAAGCATGCTGACAAGGAACCATTTGATATCTTTCTAGACATCACTTTGTGTGCCCTTGATATCATCTGTGGTAAGTCGTCTTCAGTTATTGTGACGGGGCTGCGAATGCCGCAGAGGCTCATGAGTACACCTGTGCCATGTTGTGTGAGGAGATGGTTGAAGAGGAATGTCCCTGCCTATTGTGTGAATGCATTTCCATCCTCCCAAGGCCATCCTTTCTCTTAGGGTGTCTTGTGTGCATCTGAGCAGGTGAGTTTTTGTGGGATGGGCCAGGGCAGAGGTAGCAGTCTGAAGTGAAGTTGTGTTGAGGAGCAGGGTTCCTGGGCAAGGAAGCATAAAGAGAACTCATCACCTGGAAAGGGATGTGTGTAGTCACCTGTCGAAGGGACGGTGTGGTGACAGAAGCTGGGAGCAGTAGTAACTTACTGTGTACAGGGATTCTGCATTTCACTTTGCACTCGTGAACCATTGATGATCTCCTCCTCCTAGAAACAGCGATGGGCAAGAATGTGGGTGCTCAGGAGAATAAGGATTCTGAGTATGTCCGTGCTATCTACAGGTAAATGGACATTTTCCTTGGCTACTTTGTAGTTGGGCTGGAGTTGATTCTGCTGGTGTCAGGAGTTCATCTGCTGTGAGCCAGGAGGGGGGGTTGGGGGGGGGTCACAGATGGAGGTAGAAAGCCAAGAAGGCAGGAAAAACTCCTGCAGATTTTGACGCTTGTTTGGTATGACTATATGCAATGAGAGGCTGAGGCTTTGAAGAAGTGTCAGCTGCTGTTCAGTTAATCCATTGGTACAGGAGGTTAAAAAAAAAAAAAGGAACTGCAACCTTTCATATCAGCATGACTGGCAGAATTGTGAGGGTGCTGGTTTAGACAGCGTGTTAAAGCTGATGCACTGCTGCTCTGTAGTTCATGGCAGTATTTACACCATTCAAATTGTATGTGACTGTCCAGTGGATTAAGCAAAGCATGGTCTATATTCCTGACACACTGGTGTGTCAGTCTAGACAAGATGTAGCTACCTGTGGTATCTCACCTCTAGCTTTTGATGGGTCTTGTTGAGACAGGTGTGTTACAAAAAAGGGGTGGAATTAGATTGTTATTGGTTCCTTGGCCTTTCCCAAATTGTACGAGTGGGCCCAAAGTTGGCCTAAATGTAGTAACTACTCAAAGTCTTTCTGCAGCCAAAAGCATGTGCAAGAGCTGCACAGCAATGACAGTCAGCCCTCCACATGTACTCCAGTTGTGTTCGAGCATACCTGAAGTCTCATATTCTTTATTTTAAATACTTTTCATGTGCTGTCTGGCATCTGGACAAGTCAAGTAGGAATGTAGTGCTTTCACATGGCTGTTTGAGGTCTTGGGGCAGATATTTTGGAACCTGGCCTGAGTAGTCTTTTCAGGATATACATGTCTTTTCAATATGAAAGGTCAATGCTTTAATGATGTGGAGTGGGACTGGACTGGATGACTTAATATGTCTGTTTCAACAGGATTCCAACTAAATGAGAATATGCTCTCCTCAAAGATCAGTGCTTAAAAATTTAAATCATGGTGATGCTGGGACAGGTGACAGAAATTTTGAGATGGTTTAAAATCAGGAAACAAATATGAACAGCCTTCCCTTCAGATGAATGGGTTTAAACCCACACAATATGGTTAAGTTCTGCTTTGTTGGGGGGAAGTAGAACTTTTTGTTTGGTTCTTGAAAGTGTGCTGTAAATTTGTTTGTTGTCAAGAAGTGTTACATGATGTAATTTTTGTGCCCCTAGGATGAGTGATCTAATCCAACAGCGACAGAAGAGCCCTTGGTTGTGGCCTAATCTTGTATATATGCTGTTCAAGGAAGGAAGAGAGCATGAGAGGAACCTCAAGATCCTTCACAATTTTACAGATATGGTATAGGAATGTTTTATTATTATTTTTAATGGTACATTTTAGTTGTTGAAGCAAAGTCTTGCACTCAGTAGAGAGTTTCCAAACAGGGGTGAGGTTCAGCCTCCTTGATATGCATCTATTAAGAGGAGAGCTGTCTCTCTCTTGGGATGCTGAGGAATTCCCTGAAAAGAAGACAACAGCTGACTTCCCTGTCAGGAGCTGTCATATTTAAGCAAGGGACCATACTACTCCAAGGGAACGACAGGATTTACAGGTCCTTGACAACCGAAACAAACAACAGGAACTCATTGAACTCTTGTTCTGCCCCAGATACTCCATCTTTGAATCACCTGCAGTAGCTCACAGCCAAGTTTGTAGCAGTAAGTACAGGGCTCTGCTCAGTACCAGAGGCTGCTTTCCCTGAAATAGATGTATGTACCCCATGATGTCGTTGTATCAATGCCCATGACAAAGGAAAAAATATCTGAACTTTCACTACATGTAATGAGCCACATTGACTCTGTGTTGTTTTTAAGTAGTCTGTTTTGCTTCCTTTTATTGGGAATTGCACCAGTGAGGCATGAGAGGCTCTTAAAGGGACCTAAGGTAACACTTGCTCTCTTCCCATGCTGGGCTGGTGCACTTAACATAAGAAGTCAACTCTTAGAAGATAACAAAGGAACAGTAAATAATAATTTTGCCTAGTGTAGGTGCTGACAGAAAGCACTGAGACAAAAGGTGGTTCAGTATGTGTCTTTATATGTGTATGTTCAGTGAAGGAAACAAAGTGTGTGTATATAACTATTTTTACCCCCCATTCAGTGCTTCCTCTGAACAGAATTGCATACTCTATGGCCTTTATTTTTGATTATTTTGTTGCTGTTGAGAGCAATACCAGTTTATTAAAGGGTTCTGTTTTGCTGTTGCAACAATGGTGGTGACAGCAAGAAATCTCTGTCACTGGGGCTGTGCTTTGATCTAAAAAAGGGAAGTTCAACCATTGCTGTCATACTGAAGAAGATTTGGGAAGCTTTAGTGTAGTTGGTTTCAGCCGTGCTAGGTGTAGTCCTGATTGCAGGGTTGTGGGGTGCCCTGGCTTCTCTTCAATTTCCTGGGTTCTCCAGCGGATGGAGATGTGATCCTTGCCTTAGTTATTGGGTAGGGTAGAGAATGTCATCTTGGTGATCAGTCTTTGGTGTTCAAATTGTGGTGATGTTTTTTTGATTTGCTGTCACTATTGTTGGCGTTCACAATTGGCTTATTCCAGATATTCTGGATGTGTTTACGCTTCTTTATGATCAACAAGGTGTTTGCATGGTTTGGCTATCTATTTTCTTGATCACACAAAGGCTATTCAAGGTCCATTCCATTGCTTGGGACAAGGGGTTGGTCATATTTCACCTACTAATGCAAAAAGTCAGTTAAAGTCCATGAGCTAACGCTGGCAGCTATGCTAACTAGCTCTTGTAGACTGCTACAGGTGGATGTGGTTGTTTTAATAAGTTGGGACAAACCTCTGTGATGTAGACTCTATGCCTGTGCTGTGTGCATCATATCTAACGTAATGGTTCTAATCTCAGGTCATTGCAGAAAAAGCTGCAGAACTTGAAACCACCAAGCAAATGAAATGTAATACTGATGGCAACTGTGGAGAAAGTGGCTCCAAGAAGAGAAAAGCTTTCCTGGACATGCTGCTGAGTGCAACAGATGATGAAGGGAACAAACTGAGCTACAGGGACATTCGTGAGGAAGTGGATACTTTCATGTTTGAGGTACACAAGGGACCATTTGGTTTGGGGTTTTTTTCCGCAGAACCTAGGATTTACCATTTGCAGGTAGTGACTCTTCCTTTCCTTAGTTCAGGAGGTTGCTTTTAATGTGAAGTTATTTTAGCACTGGAAGCCTAAGCGGGTATCTCTGTAGCGTGGAAACTACTGAACGATTAGAAACATTTGATCCAGAATTGTGCACTCTGGCAAAATGTTGGGCAATACGTGCGTGGCAGGCCCTGCCTATGTGAGCCAGCTGTACTCAGGAAAGCAAGCATGTAATAAGCTTAATGGCTGATGTGGGCCATGGGCTCTCAGCTGCTGTTGCAAACCTCGTTAATGCTAAAGAGAGCTTTAAATGGTTTCAGTGTTTTGCCTTGCATTTTGTCAGCTCTCCTCACATTTTGTCCCTTGCCACATTGGCTGTAACCTCCTGGTTCTGTTGTCAACTGTGCATTGGTGTACTGTCTTATGATGTCTGGTTCCCTGTTCAATGAAGGATCTAAACAAGACTTTCACAAGTGTTCCACAAACCTCTATGAGGTGGACCTGAATTCTATCTCAGAAGAGCTTAATTCAGAGTCATATTACTGCTGTTGTAACCTAAAGAAACTCTCTTCCCATCTTACCATTCCTGTACTATTCCATAGCTGTATTTTTAAGAGGTGGAGCATCATGAACTTCACAAGTGCACCTTTTTAGTACCAAAATCGTTGGTACTAAAAATCGTTTTCCCTTTTCTTTCTCTTGTCTTTTTCTTTCTCTTTCTCTTTCTCTTTGTCTTTGTCTTTGTCTTTGTCTTTCTCTTTCTTTTTCTTTCTCTTTCTCTTTTTCTTTCTCTTTCTCTTTTTCTTTCTCTTTGTCTTTCTCTTTCTCTTTCTCTTTGTCTCCAGTTTTTATGCCATACTGAGATCTGTGATAGCTGATCCCCTTCTCATAGGAAACCAAGAAGTATTCCTTCCTATGGCCAAAGTACCCTTTTTTTGGATAGTTTTGTAAAGATTACAGATTGTGTCCATTATATCTCTCCTGTGGTAGTCGTTGGCCCCCCACCCCCCACTGTGTTATGTTGTTGACTGGACAGTAACCAAAAAGATGAATATACATCTGTTTCATTGTGTAGATACTGATAGTTCATGCAGCTTCCAGGAAGCAGAGAAGAGGGATGTTTGCTTGGGTTGTTTCAACATTTTTCCCTTTTGGCTAGTTTTCAGGCACCTGACAGAATCATGGGTCATCTTACATCCTGATAATCAGTATGTTGGATAGAGTTCTTCACTCTTGATTTTTGTTTTTCTCATGGTTGTGGGATTAATAAGCCTCACTTTCCATACTACCTGCATATCCAAGTATTTATAAAGCCTACTTGTGCACAGGAATAGTGTTGAAGTGAATGTCTTTGTAAATCTGGATGTCTAGGGCCATGATACAACAGCAGCTGCTATAAATTGGGCCCTGTACTTACTTGGACATAATCCTGAAGCCCAGAAGAAGGTTCACAGAGAACTGGACGAGGTGTTTGGTACGTTTCCATTCCCTCCTTCATTGTGGTAGTGGTTGCATTTGTGAGTGGGGATGTGGTACATTATAAGCCTAGATGTAGAAGGGGAGGTAGGAACATGCCTTGTGGCCATTCTGGAGCTTTCAATAGCTAGAAGTGATTGGGATGGGTGCTGGAAGGTCTGTAGGAGAGTACAGCCAAGCTTATGTCTTTGGGGCAAGGCATGCATGTTCAATGTGTGTGTAGCACCTTCTCCTATGTGGTCTTGGTGCGAGATGAGAATTCCTGGAGGGAGCTGGGATGAGTTTGTTTAACCAAAAATGGGGAGTTTTGGTCTTGCTCATCCCCCTGTTTGTTTTTGGACAGGTAACACTGAGCGTCCTGTTACAATGGATGATTTGAGGAAGCTTCGATACCTTGAGTGTGTTGTGAAAGAAGCCCTTCGGATCTTCCCTTCAGTTCCGCTGTTTGCCCGTACCTTGAGAGAGGATTGCTGTATCAGTAAGTAGTGTGCTGCATTTGCCACTTCCTGTCCTGCTAGCATCTCCTCAGTGGAGGTATTTGTCAAGTAAAGGGCAGCATTGTTTTATTTTTTACTATGCTGTTGTGTATAGAAAGTCACTTATTTGCTGTTGTTTTGAGCCTTCTTCTCCCTTTCTTTTTCCTCTTTAGGAGGATATCAGGTACCAAAAGGCACAAATGTTCTTGTAATAACTTATGCCTTGCATCGAGACCCTGAGATCTTCCCTGACCCTGAGGAGTTCAGACCTGAGCGATTCTTCCCTGAAAATTGTAAGGGAAGGCACCCGTATGCTTACGTGCCCTTCTCAGCTGGTCCCAGGAATTGCATTGGTAGGTAGCTGAAGAGGAAGCCTTTGTAATGTGACAGTGCTGCTTTTGGTGTGGTAACTGTGGCAGCAGCAAGTGTATCAGAAATTCAGTGACTGTATCAGATATTTAAGTCTTGACGTGTCTGCTGGTCATGTCTTGTCCTCCTCACCTTGCCCTGCCTCTGAATTTTGGGTACTGTCTCCCCTGCAAGCCTGGTGCTTGAGCTGCCACACTTTGTTTCTTCCCAAGGGTTTCCTTTCTTCCCAGAGACCACCGTCTATCATGCTGCTGTTTCCTCCTCATGGCCTGTGCAGCCAGGCAGCATATTAATGGGCTGCTGTATTAGAATCATAGAAACATTTTGGTTGGAAAAGACGTTTAAGATCATCGAGTCCAACTGTTAACTTAGCACTGCCAAGTCCAACCATAAACCACATCCCTAGGCACCACATCTACACATCTTTTAAGTACCTCCAGGGACACGGCAACTCAACCACTTCCCTGGGTAGCCTGTTCCAGTGCTTCACACAACCCTTTCGGTGAAGTAATTTTTCCTAATATCCAATCTAAACCTCCCCTGGCACAACTTGAGGCCATTTCCTCTTGTCCTATCACTTGTTACTTGGGAGAAGAGACCAACACCCACCTGGCTACAATCTCCTTTCAGGTAGTTGTAGAGAGCAATAAAGTCTCCCCTCAGCCTCTTTTTTTCCAGGCTAAAGCACCCCAGTTCCTTCAGCTGCTCCTCATAAGACTTGTGCTCTAGGCTCTTCACCAGCTTCATTGTCCTTCTTTGAACACACTCCAGCACCTCAGTGTCTTTCTTGTAGTGAGGGGCCCAAAACTGAACACAGCACTCAAGGTGCAGCCTCACCAGTGCTGCATACAGGGGGACGATCACTTCCCTGGTCCTGCTGGCCACACTATTTTTGATACAAGCCAGGATGCTGTTGGCCTTCTTGGCCATCTGGGCAAAGCACACTGCTGGCTCATATTCAGCTGGCTGTCGACCAACACCCCCAGGTCCTTTTCCACTGGGCAGCTTTCCAGCCATTCCCAGCGTGTAGCATTGCATGGGGTTGTTGTGACCCAAGTGCGGGACCTTACACTGAGCCTTGTTGAACCTCATACAGTTGGCCTCGGCCCATCGATCCAGCCTGTCCAGACCCCTCTGTAGAGCCTTCCTACCCTCAAGGACAGGATTGCTTTCAAATTTCTGATCCTCAGTGTCAGCAAGACAGAGTGAAAGAAGGCAAATGTCCTGCACTTGTTTTGCTCTGGAAACACCTCATCTGTCTAGCTTATGATCTCAGCTGGGTGTCCCAAACATGCAGTCTGCAACTGATGTATTTTTTCCCTATTTCCGACACCATTGTTGCTGTGGTGTTTTCACTGTCATCCCAGAACTTGTTAGCTTATCAGGTGCTACTGAGACACTTGGTGTTTATCTGCACTCAGAGTAGAGGCTTTGTTGTTTATGTTGTAGAAAAGACTGTTCCCTGCACTGATCTTATGTGCAGATGGGGAACATTCAGTAATTGTCATGCCATTTACAAGAAAAGGAAATACAACTGCTTCTGGGTTTTTGGGGTTGTGTGCTTTCTTTTTAGGGGGTGGGGTTGATTTTGTTTGTTTTCAATTTGTCTCATTGGGAGTGGGTGTCCTCCCCATAAGAACAGCAGACTATGTCTTCCCATGTTCCAAAGAGGAATCTAATTTAGTATTACATGTCTAGCTAGTTCTTGGGTATACAGGAACATGTGCAGCAGAGGTGGTTCATTAATATCATTGCAGAAATACATCACTCTGTACATGTATACAGACATCTGTATGTGCATATTAAACAGAGGGGAGCACAGACTAAGTTTTGAGCACCGAGTTTTGTGTCCTATTCCATTTTCAGTTTAGTTTGAGTCAACTGCCTGGATTGTAGGTTTGGTTTCCCTCATATTTCTCTGTTCTCTTTCCCCTTCCGCCTTTCTCTGAAATGTAATTTGCGCTTTGCCCTCTGCGCTACCAAATCATCACTGGGTGTGATGCTTGATGTTCATTGAAGGGCTGTCTGTCATTCTGTTGCAATTGTATCTCCTTTGCTCCTCTTTGCATATATGGAACAGTGGGATTTGTCTCTTCTTGCAGTCTCTGTGCTGCATCTTCTCCTGCTCTGGTCTGTCATCCATTTCCCCCTGCGTAGTCCATCCAAGAGACATGACAAGGCTGTGTTTTGTATTAGTTCCATGTAGTGTTGACTGTTCCTTCTTTGCCATTTGAGTTGTGTGTACTGTGGGAAGGAGGACATGCTGTGGATTGTCCCAGGAAGGCCAGAGTTGTCATGCAGAGAAAAGTGCTGGTTTCAGTATTATCTATGTGACCTCGACTTTGGCCTGAAGCTAGTTCTGTTCCCAAGGCAGATGCACAGTCCTTGCTGTCCTGTGTTCCTAGGAGTATTACTGTGAGCATGCAAATGCAGTGACTGTTGATGCCACCTGACAATAACATCTTTTTTTTTTTTTTTTTTTTGCTGCCCTGTAACTCGTAGGTCAGCGCTTTGCACAAATGGAGGAGAAAACTCTTCTAGCCCTCATCCTGCGGCGCTTTTGGGTGGACTCATGTCAAAAGCCAGAAGAGCTTGGTATAAGTGGAGAACTGATTCTCCGTCCAAATAATGGCATCTGGATTAAGCTGAAGAGGAGGCCAAATGCTGGATCAGAATGAAAGGAAATTCAAGATTTTATTTTTCCAGAGACTTCCAAACTATTTAGACTGAGATATATTTTTAAATTAGGTATTTTTATGACAGTCTAGTAATTTGTTGAAACTAAAGTAGTTACTGATTGCTTCATTAAAAATGATGTTTTAATAGCTCTAAATTGCTCTACTTTTCTGGTACATGTGAACTTCATGTTCATCTTTGAAGTGCAAGTCTTTAAACATCAAATCTTAGTGCCTTATCTTCTTGGATAAAACTATTTTATTGCAACAGTGCAAAAAACCTTAAATTATGGTAGTAACAACAGTAATGCCTGTGATGGAGTGATATAGGTATATTCCATAGCATTTGTGAGGCTACTGATAGTCTCAAATCTTTTGTGCGGTTTTCAGGTTTCTTTGGTTCTAAAAGGTACAAGTGATCAATTCTTCTACTCGGCACAATATTTTTTCTGGTTTTGGTGATGACTACATCTATGAAGACAAAGCAAAAATCTCTGATAATTTCACTCCTTTTTAAGCATTTACAGTAGTTCTTAAGTAGTGAGTGCTCTGAATTATTTTTTAGCAAAGTAAACCATAAGCATCAGTCTGTGTAACCATACCGTGAACTGGATAGTGTGCAAATAACGCACAGGATTTCATAATGACAGAAACACTGTATTCTTACATATTCTGAGAATAAACTTCTATTATGCCTCAATATGGAATGAAATTATATCTGTAAAAATTACATGCCTGGGTGCAGGTAAATTACTAATGGATAATTATTTCTTATCTTCAGTTCCTCCGGGCTGATCAATTGACCAGATTTTACAGTGTTAGTCGAAGCTGAAACAACAAGCCAGTCTGTTCTTGCCTTCTAGGGTCCTGGAGGCAACATAGAGAGTTTCTTGCTAATTGAAGTTAAAGAGGTATTACGGTGATGGAATGAAGCGTTTGTGAAAGTTTCTGACCCTTTGTACTTTCAAGACGGTCAAAATCTGCAACAAGCCCCACAGCTGGAGAACAGACCCTCTGTGACTTTTGTAAGCACTGAAGAAAAAGCTGGTACTAGACCAAGCTGAGGTCCTCCAGCTGGTCTGCCCTATGCTTTGTCACTTCTTCTGGCTGGCGTCTGTTACCCCAGAGCATGACTCCTGGCACTGTAGAAAGAAGGGTGCACACTGATAACCACACCTCTGTCTTGATCTGCTGAGGCAGCGGTTGTTCTTGCCACCGTGGCTGGCGGTGGTGGTTTTAGGTGTGCTATCACCTTCAGGTTGTTCTGCGGCTGCGGGTGACCTGCCGAGGGGAATTGGATGAGAAGCTGAAGGTTAGAGCTGATATGGCTAATACGGACTGATCCACTCTAATGATTAATGTGTTACAGAGTAAGGAATGAGTAATCTGTCCTTACTGGTTTTGTTGATTCCTTTTTTGTCTGTTTCCGTGTGTCCTTTTAACAGCACTTAGTGGTTTAATACCTGGGATACTGCTGTGCTTTGTAGAACATCAGAATACAGAGAAAATAATTCCTATGTTTTACAAGTAAATTAGAGGGTTTCTTGAACCTGCCAAATTCTTTACATTCTGATAAACCTAGGTTTTACCATTTTCTGAGGATCTTGTACAAAGAAAGAAATTAACTGCTTAGTTTACATAGATCACAGACCTTGACAAATAATTTATTGTAATTGCTACCTTTCTTTTGCCATTAAGAAAACAAGTCATGTAACTGCTAATATGGTTACATTCTTCAGCCTTCATTTTCAAAGACAGGTTTCATTGCTAGATAATAACAAGAGTTTAAGTTTACTGGGCTGATTGTAAAAATTGTTTTTTTTATAATGGGATAACTTTTGAGACTACCTTCTTATGTTAATACACATAAAACCAATGATACATTTTCCAAAGAGACTCTAAGTTACAGAATTATTTAATGCTTTTGGGTACTTGGTAACGTGAGCTTTGCAGGTATACAAGATTTGCATCCAGAATATGTTTTCTCAGGACATTAGGTATGTAGTTGAAACCTGGAGTGGTACCTCGTGTGTTTTGTTAAAATATGTCCTTAAATTGAGGACTTCCAAGACAAATGAAAACAAATATTAATTCCTTTTCTTCTATGGGATCTATTTTATGGAAACAGTTTTTAAAATTGACCAAACTGTAACTATTCTCTCCATAAGGAGATAATTTTTGTGATATCTATCTACAATGACCAATATTTTTACTTTCGCTTTGGTTTTGTACCATGTTCTTCTCATATAATGGTATCTCAAGGAAATGGTTATTTCTTTATAATTTCTGATGGGAACAAGAAACATAATTGAGACAAAACCTGGATAAAACTGTAATGAGAAAATCATTATTAAAAGTATATGGGCTCAGATGCTAGCACAGGGTTGTCAAAGTGGAAAATCCATATTTAATGATGCACTTAGTATCTTTGCCAAGATGAGCACTGATGTAATCCCATAGTCTTTGTGTTCAGAGCTGTTCTGAAAAGGTGATGGCCTCTCATCTTTTGTTGTGAAAACTAGTTCTGGAGCAATCTGAGGCTGCTAAGGAAATAAATATTGAGAAAATCAATACTGAAAGAACAGGAACCTTCTGCCTGCAGGGTAGATGTTAGATACCTTGTGTTGTGCAGAGTGTGTGCTTTTATTGACCTGAGTTGTGGCTTGTAGTTGTTGCTTGTGGTCAGCAACAACCCTTTGGGTTTGAGGTGTTTCGTTTTTTTGTTGGTTTTTTTTTGTTTGGTGGGGGTTTTTTTTGTTGTTTTTTTGTTTTGTTTTTTTATAACCCTGTAGGACTTAGGAACACAGTGCAGCCTTGCCAGGTTTCCTGATAAAGTAATGAGACAATAAAATACGGTGTAATAAAAACTGCATGTGCATAGTAGCTGTTTGTGATTTTTGTCCTGATGACTAGGTATCCACTGATGGTATGAAGGTAGTGGCTGAACTCTAAACCCAAATATTACTCTTGAGTAATGGTTCATGTAGGGTAACCTCAATGATGCTAATCACGGGGTGGTGCTGGCTCTGTTTCTGAAATATGACTGCCTTGCTGTAAGAAGTTGATAGCCTTGTCTCATCTGAAGATCCCTTTTGTATGGTGACAAAGGGGATACGTATGGTGTATGTATTTCTACTGGGATGACGGAAATAGAATGTGTATGCGTTTCTGGATCATGATTTACAGCTGTTTATGAAGAAAACTGAGAACAAACCCTCTGTGTGACCTTTTGGGTGGTGCTGCTTGAAAGTGCCTCCAGAGGCACCAGAGGTTTCCAGCCACCTTAACACAAATTGCTTTTTGGGGTCTGAAAGCTGCACATTTGGGATGCATGCAGGAGGTTGACTAGTCATGCTTACTAGACATCTGCCTGCCTTCCTGAATTCAATGCTCACATTCATCTGTTGATGTTAGTACACTGCTGCATACAGATCCTCTTGCCACGCGTGATCGAACATCATCTCACTGATATTCCCAGCAGGTAAAAGATTCAAAGAGCCTTTGGAGAATCCTACCCCACTTTCCTCCCTAAAAAGCAGTATTGGTGCCACCCCCTGGCAAACTTCCCGGTATGGTACTACATTCAGTTCATAGTCGGGTCATATTTAGAACATGATCTTCATAGTTTGCATGGATTAAAAACTAAATTAACTAAAAAAAAAAAAGTTCAGGATTTTTCTGAAAATGGGAGTTCTCTGCTAAGTAGAACTCCATCTTTTGCTCAACAAATGGGCTTTTCTGAGACATGCCTGGAGTGGAGCCTGTGGAGATGGAAAGTGTTCATTGAAAATGCAAAATGTTTTAAGCAAAGAGAGGCAGACAGTTAGCAAAAAAATGTATGCCCAAACCTACAGACCTGACGTCCAGCTAGTAGTTGAGGGACATATGTAACTTGTTCAAGAGTTGCTGTTCGACAATTTACATTCGGGGCCTGGTCAGGACACTGGAACCCTTCAGTACATTGAAACGTTCTGTCTCTGTAATGTCTAACAATAATCAGCATCAGGTTTTTAGCTGCCTTGGGCAATTATGTGATTCTCCATTTATATGAAAAAATTAAATTGTTTCTAGGAAAAAAGTCAAATAAGCCCTCTTACAAAACAAACCCAGTAGTGATTTGTTGTTTAATATTTGCAACTGTCTTCTATTTTTTTTCTATGATCCTGAATTTGATCTGCATTGATTTCTTATTTGACATCTGATGCACAGTTATTTCTGGGCTGTGCTTCTGGGAAGACTATTGTTGACATGTACTTGCAGGATATAGAACTACTATACTGCTTTTATTTCAATACAATATGCAATCCAGTACTTTTCACAAATCAGTGAATTCTAGCCATCTTTTTGCAGCCTTTTTGGGTGGAATCAAGTCAAACACGAGAAGACTTTGGTGTAGTGAGAGAGCAGATTCTTCACTTGGATAATGGTCATCTGGACTCAGATGAAAAGGCTCCAGATTGTTCATTTTATGAGGGAAAGATCAAGATATAATTTTTAGAACTTGTAGGAGCATCTGGTATTTCACTCTGTCCTTTGTCATATACATAATGATAACCATGCAGAATTAAAGATACAGAGTATTGTGGTATTCCTGTCTTACTGGTGCCTTCCTTCCCTCACTCCCGCTGAGATGCTCTTCCTCTTGTTCCGTGTCACCACTGGCGTGTGTCTCATCACAGAGAGTAGATCCTCTCCCATGGTTGAAGCTGCTCGTTGAATAGCATTGCCATAAGAAATATGGAATTTTGTTTTGGCAGGCAGAATTAGACCTAAATCAGACTAGAGCAGTGTCCAGTCATTCATTTCCTGAGGTGAAAGAATTCAGTAATTCCTGCCACCTTTGCAGATGAACGAGACTTTGCATAAATCACAGAGGAAATGGCAGAAAGCGGTATCAAGCTAGCAGGCAATTGTGCTGCCAGAGGGATTTCATCTTAAAGAACTTGCTGACAGCTTAGGCTGCGGCAGGTTTTGTTGGGGTTTTTTTACATACCAAGTCAAAATGAAACAGTCAAAACAGAATTGCTCCATTTTCTTTCAGGCGTTTCATCTAAATTTTATACTTGTATCATC